GTCCCAACCAAGGCAGCTTCTGGTGCTGGACACATTCTTCAACGGAAGTACCTGTTACATAACCGAAAACGCGCTTTCTAACTGCCTCGTCATAGATTCGCCGACACCAACCCACGCGAACCATGGTTCTGAGACAACGATTGTCGAACACCTGAAGACGTCTCAGGTCCGCTGCTCGAATAGGCCAAGTCTCACAGCCATACAACAAAGCAGCCCGTAGTGTAACTTGATACACACGTCCCTTCAGATTCAGGGATAAACCATTCTGACGCCATAGGTGTCTCAAGTTAGCAAACGCGATTCGGTCTTTGCAGATTCATACATTGACCTCATCTGTCACACTACAATCAGAACTAATACAACTTCCAAGATACATAAATCGCTCCACAACTTCCAGTACCTCTCTCTGGATTATAAGTGGCGCGTTCAGTGACTGCATATCCAAGAGCATGACCTTACCAACCTATAACCAAATCAACTAGTGCGCTTGAGAGAACACAACTAACAAAATCCATGCCTCATGTTCGTTGCTATCAGGTGGAAAACAAAGCATATTTATCAGAGATATCCCCATAGGCACGAGATATTCCTTTTGTAGGCTCGGTTCAGGTAATATGAACCTTGATTTCGAAGTAAATAATTTCAGGATCTGACTGTTTATGTCGTATACTTATGTTGTTGCTCGTTTGATTTAATGAACCCTTGCAAGTCGGCTTTTGTTACAAATAGTTAGTGGTCTTCCAAGTTTCCCAAGCGAAATATGGACGTTTTTAGGTCCTAAAGTTCGGGAAATCCAATCCATGAATTACTCTAGTTGTAACGTTGCAATCAGCATCTTGCTTTGTGTGTGAGTAGCATACCAAAGTACGTCTTTAGGCAACAACCGTGTGTTATTGGCCCGGTACCCATTCCACTTTTCAGCCTCATTGTCCTTGTGGTTTCGATTCAGTCTAACCAGACAGCCAGCCCACTTTCCATGCGTTTATTCTTTTGTTCCTAAGGCCATTTTTGCGCCGTCCTCAAATGCTTCTAAAACGTGGGGGGTGAAACTTAGAGGGTGTTTTAATGCCTCTTGATCGCGACGTAGGGCCTCAAATTTGTGTCAGGGTGGGCTGCTTGTCATTAGCCGTCTTTATGTCCAAAAAACAGAACGGAAAGTAGGACACACAATAGTTCACTTGTGTTCCCTTTCCGTTCCCTCTTGCCTATGCTGTTCACTTGTGTTCCCTTTCCGTTCCCTCTCACCTATGCCGGCGTCATCCATGCTTGCACAACCACACAAGCAAGTATGAACGTTACTTAAGAGTGACAGGGTCTTTTCCAATCGCCCTTGGGAGCGAAACACTACTAACAAAAGCCTCACCGCGAGTTGGAACACCCCCCCCCCGCTTTTGAGTGTATCGTTAGCTGATTCCGCTTTAGAGGACCATTTTTGAAAATAACGTACATATATACATATAATATAATATAAAAAGTTCCGCATTACACAAGTGATGCTTACAAAGGTCAAAGACAGAGAAACGAAGCAACTAAAAGCCTGTTTTTCAAATGACTTATAAAACGAATGAAAGCAACGGGATGGGCGGTAACCTAACGGAACACAACTGATTCTCACCTATAAACGTAATACACTACTCATAAGGTTGCTGAATTTCTTTGACAGCCCATGACTGGTTTCGCCTTCTTGGGGCTTATCAGGTAGGCGGAGTTCCCGAGTTTTCGTCAAACGTATGTTCTACTTGAAACGAAATTGCACAAAACTAGCGAAATACACTCATTTGCAAAGGAATTTGGTTTTGCGAGAGACTCACCTGCAACCCAACTGGATCTCTCGTCTATAATGTTTCCAGGCAAGTGAATGTGTTTCAGTTGCTACCATATTCCAGAAATCGCGATACATGTATGGACGTAATGTACTACTCATGAGGTTGCTGAAAATTTTTCAACAGACTGGAAACATCACAAACGGGAGATTCAGTTAGGTTGCAGATAAATCTCTCGCAAAACCAAATTTGTTTGCATTTCGCCAATTCTCACCTAGTTCTACCGAGTAATGTTAACCCAGAATTGACCTTGAATGAGTTTCACTGCCAACTTACCTGCTTTATCAAATATGAACGTGTCTTTTGGAACATTGGATCGCAAGTTCGCTTCCACCGGATACTGACACGGACGCGGCATTTGTGTTGTTGGCTTCTGTCCAGAGGGTCCGAGTGATCTTCGGTGACGTAGAATGTTTGTTTCGGGCACTGTAATACTTTACACAAATAAAATGGCACGGTTTTAGGGCGATGAGACAATAATGTTCTCCACTGGTGTTGCTCTGAACGATGACGATGACGATGATGGGGCCCACGATGGCCATCCAAGTGGCAGTGACGATTAATTAAAACATCAAAGGCAAAAAAGTAGGAACATACTTCTAGTGGAGTGGTCAATGCCGGGGGCCACTGAGATTCAGCAACCATTTAGTGTACGATTCATCGTTCATTCTTCAGTTACTGATAAGACCGAGTGTAACTATATCCAGCCAGTCACAATGTTGAACAGGTGCTCTTGGCGGAAGAGCAAATTATGAGAACTACCTGCCAGCATGTCGCGGTTTCGAGACTCCTTGGAGCTGTGCAGTGCTCCCCGGCTTTTCAAGACAGACCGGTTCTACTTTCAAGTCGAAATTTCCCGTACAACTTTACAAATCTCCTCACATTTACAAGGCTCGGAAATGGCCGAATAGCCAATCTGACTTCTCAAGTCAACGAGGGTGAAATCCCTGAAAAGTAGCGTGACCATTTTATCTCAAAGTAGGTGCGCTTTCCCAAGTGCGAGTTTGTAGTAACGGTATTTTCCTCAGCTTAGTTCTCGGTCTGAGCCTCCCAAGCTAGCGTTGACGTCAAAACAACCACCAAAGGTGACCAGTTGTACAGCGCTTCGTATATATAGCGTAAGCGGCTATAACTTTCTGGAATTTCGGACGCGTTCTGCACGCGGCATTGGCAACCGGCATTTGGCCAATACTGGGTCATGATTGGCTGTTGGGTCCAGATTGTTGACCAATCAGATCTCGTCTTGATGCCGGACCGGCAAGCGTCCCGAATTCTGGGCCAACCTCGAGCGGGCCACGCTTCTCGGCCGTAGCAGCGCCCAAAGACGTGCGGTACAGTGGGATCCGCGTGGATTCCTGCCTAACAGAGTTCCCCTCCGAAAAATGCGCATTCTCA